AGGAGGAAGAGGAGGAGGAAGAGGAGGAGGAAGAGGAGGAGGAAGAGCAGGAGGAGGAGCAGGAGGAGCAGGAGGAGGAGCAGGAGGAGCAGGAGGAGGAGGACAGCTCTGATATAATCTAACACTGGTGGGGAAAAAAGTTTGCCGTTTGGCTGGTCTTGGTGAGGGAGGGGAATGGCAGAAATTTGGCCCTGTTGGAAGATCCGTGTATGTTGAGCCCAACTTGGAAAACTGGCTGGCTTCCCAGCTTCTCACTTTTCACCGCCGTTGCAACCTGTCTCGAAGCTTGGGCGATAATGGGCACTTTGACCAGAAAAACGCAGGTTGTGTGCACTTGCATTGACCATGCCCAAACACGCAAAACTCACGTGTTCTGAGGACGGAGATGTTCTGAAAATCGGAGAGTATGCCACCTCGGTGACGATCTTGACCAAGGACGGACCAACGGTGACACACAACACCCACCGCGGTGTTCGGTGCAAGCCCTGGTCAAAAGAGGTCGGGAAACAGGTCGAAACAGCTGAGGCCGCTTGGCCAGTTCCCAGGCTGGTTTTTTGTCAAAAGAATTCATCCCAAAAATTCATCCATTGGTCCATTGACCACTCCAATGACTCTCCGCTTCCACATGCTTTTTGAGTCCGAAAGCAACCCGGTGAAGGTTGAAAACGCATTGAAGATTTGGGGGTGAACCCTTAAGGAAAGTTCATTGAAACCGGTGAAGCCTGGTGAGTGCCCCTCCTAAAAACACCAACAACACGCCACACTGATTTCGCATGATTTCGCTGATGTTCGTTTGTCCCCATCGATGTGCCACGCGCTGATGGCCCCCCTTTCGCACATGTTGGGTTTCCAGCCGCCGTTGCCGCCCACCAACGGCAGGTGGTCTTCGATTGCGCCCCGGAGATTCCAGCACCAAGCAGCCAGTGTACCGCGGAGAAGAACCTCAACAACTTTGGATCGGTCAAGAAGATGAAGGCCCAGTGGCGCATGTTCTTCTCCTGGTCCCTCAAGATGGCCCTTCCCCAAAACATATGCGACGAACATGGGACGCAAACGAAACACGGGTCGTGCCGCGAACATGAGCTGCACCTTGTGAGCTGCGGCGCAGGGAGTGTTGAGGATCAGAGGGAACTCAGAAAATCAGACTGGCCCAACTCAGATGAACCAAAAACAGAATGTAGGCTCTTGATCAATAAGCCCCCCCCATATGGAGAGCCTTTCGAATCCAAATACGGCTTTGATGGATCAAAAGTCCCAAAAGTCCGCACAACTTTCGACTCCCATGAGCTCTTGGTCCACCGTTTGATGGCAGTCTTCCGCGGCTTGTCCCAGCCGTAGACTGAACAAACCCGTGGGGTTTGGGAGTCACACTCTTGGAACCATAGAAAATGTCCGTAGAAACTACCTCGCTAGGAATGGGGACGACCTTCCATTCCGAAAACACGGCCTTCTAACTAATCTATGTGAAATACATGCATAATCATGCATACTTTATATTGTTATATTGTACAGAAATATAGTGTATACATGTTTGTATTCTTTGGAGGTTTGGCTTGGCTGCACGAACGATTTGTTGGTGGTTTGGTCTTTGTGCGTGAGGGAGACCCTTGAGCTGATGGTGTTTTTAACCCAGTTAACTCGTTGCCATCGTCCAGTTTGGAGGCTCTTTCGCGTTAAGCTGCGTGTGAAACCAACCGGGTCACTCTGTGAATCTGTGCATCCTTCGGCGGCGATATACCGCCGCACCTGGCGCGCGGCGCCAGGCTAATGGTTGGGTCTTCAACGCGAAGAAGTTAAACTTCAAGAACAAGAGATATGGGACAGGACTGGGCATACTGGGACTGTATGGGACCGTCCTTCTTGGTTGATCCTTCTTCCACGAAAGCTGGCGAGTTTACTCGCAGCACGAGGCACATCAAACAATCCTTAGTTGTTCAACAGAACAGTCTGGCACTATGTACATGTCCACATTTGCTTGGTCCCTGGAGCAAATCCAAGATGCCCAAGGTACGATCAGTTGTTGAGGAACATATCATAAAACATCCATTCGGATCCTGAATAGCACATCTAATATCCTCCCTGTGATGGAACAACAATCAGTTGGGGACCCAAAAGGAATGGCACCAGATGGGAAGCAGCACGAATCGCTCCAGGCGACAGACCCGACAGACCCGAGGGCACCCGACAGACCCGAGGGCACCAGACAGACCCAACGCTCTCGGCAGACAGACGAGCCGTCGATGAGGTCATCCCCTTGATATTTACCACTCCCTGAAATCAGGGTGACGTGGGATCGCACCACCTCTTTGGCAAGGAACGAACAGGCGAAGTGGTGGCTCTGATGAAGCGCAACCTGCATACCGCAGGAGCCCTACCTCATTGTTGACCTGGTGTTCTAGTGTTTTCCGTCCTTAGTAGGACGATGGTGCTTCCGGATTCAGCCTATAAAAAGAATGCATGATGAGCCAGGAAGCCGTTCCCGAGCCATCGCTCCCCTCAGCTCGCTCCCCTCGGCTCGCCCCGGTCACATCGGCACTCTGTCGCCTCCTCCGGCGACCGGACACGGCCGGAGGGGGGCACCGGAGCGAGGGAAAGCGACCGCTGCAGGAGTGCCCGCGGGCTCCTTTTGGGGCTTCAGAGGTGGCAAACCGGCCCTGGAAATGTCCACCACCTTGAAGGGCAGTGGCAAGCTTTTGGTCGCTCGGATGCGCAAGATGAGTGAGTTGACGCGAAGGAAGACATGGCGTGCGAGGAGATGCAACGAGCGTCAAGAAGAAGACTTGAAGACTTGGTGAGAGAAAGGGCCAATGGTCGTCTACTTGTTTGAAGCGAGGGACCTGAATGCATGGCAAGCAGGCAAGCAGGCATCAATAAAATGAATCGAGAAAGGCAAAAGAGGGAAAGAACATGAGAAACAAACCAAAGATCTATATGGTGTATGTGTGATAACGTGAAAGGATTCGCAACTCCTTGACATCAGCTCTAACGGCGGTAGATGACAGGATTGTTCTTGCCTCGCACCATTGACCCCCCGGCGGTATGAGGTCTCATTTGCTTCGCACCTGGACCATGGTGTCGACTATACCCAGCCCACTTTCCAGAATAGACAGGACACCGAACGACGTCGGATCGCTGCTGCTTTCGCCGACCATCTCTGAACCCCGCCGAGCCTCCCCCGATCTCTCTAGCCTTCCGCCCCCATCCCATGGGCGTCCCAAGAGCGGGGATCACGAAGATAAGGCCGAAGAAGACAGACTAAGAAGACGCTTCGGGCGGTGAAAGCGAAATCCGAAATCGTTTTGGAAGAACCGCATTTCACTGAGATCCTATGAAATCAACGAGTTCCAGTGAAACCTTGTGAAAGCAAAGAATTCCTGTGAAATCCTGAGGGTGTCTTCGTGTAGCTTCTATATTCCTCCCATTTCGTGCCCTCTTTGTTGCTGGACATGTGACATCCAAGCCCAAAACGAGAGCCATCTGAGGTGGTCTACGGCAATCAACACAATGGGGGAGTGGTGAAAGTGCCTCGGTGACGATTTCCCCACAAGGCCTCCAAGACATTCAAAGACCTTCAAGACCTCCAAGAGAGGTTAAGTGGCCTGAACTAGGACCCTACTCCGGTACCTATGGGATGGTCGAACTAGGGTTCTTCAACTTCTTTTGGCTGGATCGAGCAGTTTCGAGTGTTGGCTCGTTGGCTGCACCCGGCTGCACCCTACTTGAAGCCGAATCCAGGTTTCGTCCGTGGGATCGCGGGCGAACCGACTGAACGTCGGACGGGACGGGTTTCCCCAACGAATGGATCGAACAGGTGGAAAAAAAAAGGCGTCTAGGCTCAGAGGCCTTTCGCCTGACGGTTCACGGGAACCCGTGGGTGGGCTGCTAGGGGCGACTCTAGGGGCGACTCAGCCGTGATTTGTCCCAGGAAAATGGCTCGGGAGTCGCTCTTTGGGTCTTAGATGGTCATAGAGATCCCGGGATCCCTTGCACACAAGGTGAAGGGACACCAACAAAGATCCCGAGGGGGGGGGCTGAGCTCATGTTCAATTAGGATGTTAGGGCAATCTGTGATGTGTGCAGGACTGTCCGCCAGCTGTTGTTTTGGACCCGCGGCCACATACCTGGATCTACTAACATCTACTAACTAATGCAAAATGTTTGCCTATAGTATCCTATGGTATGGATATGTATGGATGAAACGGCAGAACTCTTGCATCGCTGGACGATCCAGGTCTTAAAGCACAGCTTCATCGTTCCAGAAGCCGAAGCTGGCTCTTCACTCCAGAAGCAGAAGCTGCTTCCAAACCACATGGGCTCCTCCCTCGAGTGAACGGTTCGGGTGTGACTTCCCCCGTGTTTTTGTGTTCTTTTGTCTTCACAATGTTGACAGACAAAGGCCGGAGGACCGGATGAACCCGGTAATTCTATAACTGTCATGTTCAGCAGGTGCTGGGCAGAAGACCAGAGCGTGGTTTTCAGCCATCCTGACGACTGTCTTCAGCTTCAGGTCTTCCTCAACGACGAACAAATTGGCATTGCTGGGCGTCGGAAGCTGTATCAATATGTGCCATGGCTAAACACATCTACGTATACTGAATACTGTAAGTACTGTTTCGTTTTTGTCGATGTTGTTTGCTTGGGTCTTACGCCCCATACTAACATAGAGTCACACGGCTGCTAGATCAAAAAAGCATCAAAAAAAACTTAAAAAAATAATCAAAAATAGAATAAAAAGATGATCCAAAAAATATATTCCTGGATAGGCCTCTTCTGCTGCTCTCCTGGCCCTGTGGTCTGCGGGTCCTCTGGTTCTTTAGTCTGCTGGTTGACTGGTCCTTTGCTCCCCTGGTCCCTTGGTCCTTTGGTCCCTTGCTCCTCTGGTCCACAGGCCCTTTGGCCCCCTGGTCCTTTGGTCCTGGTCCGGTCCCGTGGTCTCCTGGTCCTTTGCCCTCCTGGTTCTCTGGTCTGCGGGTTTCCTATGGTTTTCTCCTTTTTCTTTCACTGCTGCTTTTTGATGCCTTTGGCCCTTTCTCTTGTAGCTTATTGGCCGCAGTTTTCCTGCAAACGTACAATGCTTTTGGCTTCGGTTGCCTTAGGTCCTTGTGTGCATTTTTTTTGATGCCCTTCACTGAAAGGACGATAGGGTACATAGTTTCTAGTGATTTCTTTTGTGGCGCTGTGTTTTAACGTTTGGTTCGCTTTGAACGGGGCGCGCTGCGCCCTCCCCCCCC